GGCCGGCCTGGCGTGCTGGTTATCGATGTCACCTTCCCCAGCCTTGCGCCTTTCGAGGTGAGCACGCCCCTTGCGCGAGACCCGGGCGCCTGGGCGGGGCAACTTGGAAACTTGGGCGTTTCCCAGAAGTAATTGTTTACTGAAAGCCTCTGTATTCTGGTACTGCCCTTTGACCTTACGAATTAATAAATCACTCATTTATTTATTTCTTCAATAGAATATATCGTGTTTATTAGAACTTTCTGCCCTGTTCTCTTCCACACCTCTTCCCCGCATCCAGAAGAGCACTGGCACCAGGGTGCCAGAGAGTAGGGTATAGATACTGGACACACACACACACACACACACACACACACACACACACACGTAAGAGATCAAGTCAGTCCTTGGTCACAGCTGGGTTTAGTTAACAATGATTTACCATGAAACCTACCTGCCTCCTCATTCTTGCAGTCTCTGTCAGAGGTCAGGTGTAACTCATTTCTCATTAGAGACTCCCAATGATTCCAGGTTTTACTCTCCACTTGCATTTCTATATCAGCTGGCAGAGTGACTGAACACTGAGTGAGCTCAGCACAGAGGATAAATCTTATTTCTAAAGGATTGGCATTCAGAGCCATTCTTTGTCTTGTCCTCACTAGCTCTCTGGGCCCCATGCACTTTGGGTTACAGTGTGTGGTTATCTTCCAAGTTTTTCCTTATTGTCACCTGGTAAACTATTGAGAGGACCTGACAGTGGAAATTCTGAGTTAGTAGGTTTGAGGTGGACCCTGGACACCTGTATTTTAAAAAATTTCTTTGGATGACTCTGATGTGTATGAAGACACATGTTAAACATGTGGCAAGATCTGCACTCATGGTTTGTTTGCATGCACTTACTCATTTAGACTGTGGGTTCTTCTAGAAAAGCAAAATTGTGTTTGGATCCCAGGGGTGCTTGTTGGATTGTTTAGCAGATGAGTTGGAGATGTGGCTCTGTGGTAAAGTGCTTACCTAGTATACATGAGGCCCTGGGTTCAATTTCAGCACTAAAAGAAACAAAAACTAAAGCAAAACCAACAACAAAATTGTTTAGCAGGGCTGAGGATGCCCCTCAGTGGTAGAGCACTTGCCTAGCAAGCTCAAGGCCCTGGGTTCAATCCCCAGCACTACACACACATACATACCTACACACCCACACACATATACACACACATTTAGCAAAAGAGTGCATTTCAAAAGAAAGAAGATAGTGTCTTTGATCCTTTCAGACTCTGGGCCTGATTTGTCATGGTGAGTTGTGTGTGCTCTAGTTGCAGGAGATCACATTTAAGAATTACTACACAGCCTTTTTAAGCATTCGTGTCCGTCAGCATACTTCAACACACTCACCAGCGAAGTGGGTGACCTGCCTGCGGGACTACTGTCTGATGCCTGATCCGCACAGTGAGGAGGGAGCCCAGGAGTATATATCGCTGTTCAAGCACCAGGTCAGCTTGACCTCAGCATGGCCAGGGAAGCCAATATGAGGACTTAGAGATTTGGGGGTTAGATCACTACACCAGGAGGGAAGAGGGGGGAAAGACTTGCTTGGGCTGTGGCTTCCAGGCATGTTCCTTGGAACAACTACCGTTTTTCCTTTGCAAAGAACTTGCTCACTGCTGTTTGGGAGGTTCCTGGGAAGTGAATTGGGTCTTCTCTGGGTTCTTGTTTGTGTATATGTCAGATGCTGTGTGACATGACCAGAGTACTGGAGCTGCGTCTGATTCTACGGCAGCCATCACCACTGTGGCTGTCTTTCACAGTGGAGGAGCTGCAGATCTACCAGCAGGGACCAAAGGTAAGTGACTAGCTCAAAGCTGTTGGTTAGCCATTTTCACAAGAGGCTTCCAGGTAGGGTTGGAAGAGTTGGGGCAGTGGGATCGGGTGGGTGAAGAGTGAGGATAGTGAGACTCCGGAGTCTTTTATTTATTTATTTTTTTTAAGAGAGAGAGAAATTTTTTTTTAATATTTATTTTTAGTTCTCGGCGGACACAACATCTTTGTTGGTATGTGGTGCTGAGGATCAAACCCGAGCCGCACGCATACCAGGCAAGCGTGCTACGGCTTGAGCCACATCCCCAGCCCCATGAGACTCCGGAGTCTTTCATGGAAGTTAGTTGCATGTGAATGCTAGAAGTTTGTGAGGAAAGGTGGGGCTCTGTGTCCATATTCCTTGGCCATTTGATGGAGTTCTTTTTTTTTTTTTTTTTTTTGTCTTTTTTGGAACTGGGAGTTGAACCCAGGGCCTTGCGAATGCAAGGCAGACATTTTTCCACTGAACTACCCACCATTTTCAGAGTTGGAATCATCAGGACACACATTCTCCACCCCCTCCCTACAATTGGAGATTGAACCCTTGGGGCACTTTACCACTGAGCTACATCCCCAGCCCTTTTTCTTTTTCTTTCTTTCTTTTTTTTTTTTTTTGGGTGGTACTAGGGATTGAACCCAAGAGCACTTTGCCACTGAGCTACATTCCCAGTCTTTTTATTTATTTATTTTAAAGAGAGAGAGAGAGAAAGAGAGAGAGAAAATTTTTTTTTTAATATTTATTTTTTAGTTTTCGGCGGACACAACATCTTTATTTGTATGTGGTGCCGAGGATTGAACCGGGCCTCACACATGCCAGGCAAGCCTGCTACTGCTTGAGCCACATCCCCAGCCCAGTCTTTTTATTTTGAAACAGGGTCTTGCTAAGTTGGTGAGGCTGGCCTCAAATTTGTGATCCTTCTGTCTCAACTTCCAGAGTTGCTGGGATCACAGGCATGTGCCGTATCCAACCAGAAGAGACTTTTTTGCTGCTTATGTTTCTGGGGCTTCCTTCTGCATAGCAGGAGAACTTAGTAGTCTGATTGTTCCCCTGAGGTTTGTGGGCCTCTTGAACAGGATTTTTCCAGTGTCTGAGGCTCAGGGCCCCTTATCTCTGCTCTCAGGTGCCAGAATTATCCCACTATGCCTTACTCAGAACAGTATGCCTTTGTTTTGTAGAGCCCCTCCATGACCTTCCCCAAGTGGCTGTCTCACCCAGTACCCTGTGAACAACCTATTCCCCTCCCTGAGGTAAGCTTTCACCCTGGGTCTGAACCACATGTGAATGGCTCTGGTGACCCTTTCTATTAAAATCTGGGGCTGGACCCAAAACCCTTAGTTCAATTTATGACATTTTCTTGAGAACACTTTGGGATTTGCGGTATCTCTGGTGTTGGGCTGGGCTGCCTACCAAACATCAGGCTCCAGCCTTGTGTTTCACAAGTCATCTGGAATACTCATCTTAACTAGAGGTTCCATAGGCTATCTTGGCCTCTTTAGAGCTCTAAGGGTACTTTCTGGGGAGAGACTCATAGCCACTGACCCCTCCTTTTGAGCAGGGTCTTCCAGACCCCAGCAGGGTGTCTTCTGAGGTTCAGCAGATGTGGGCACTGACAGAAATGATCCGGGCAAGTCACACCTCCACGAGGATCGGCCGTTTTGATGTGAGTGACTTGTTTCCTTGTTTGGCTTGCATTTGCCCTGAGCAGGTCAGACCTGATAGTTTCTTTTTTTTGTGTGTGTTTGCAGGTGGATGGCTGTTATGACCTGAACTTGCTCTCCTACACTTGAGCAGTGGCTCCTAGCTGAGACATTGGCCTTTCAATGCCCATCCAGGCTTGATTTGGGCTACCAGAGGCAGAATTGTGTATCCTGTGCATTCCAAGTGTTGCTTGCATGCCCATTCTGTCTGGGCCACATTTACAGATTCAAGATTCTTGGGGCTTACTATATTACTTCAGCATGAGTTCCTAACAAGGATACACTCTGTCTTCCATCTGGCTGCAACACAATTCCTTCTTCTACCTTAAAAATACTGAAAATTCCTGAGCACCCTCTGCCCCTTCTGCCAACAAGCACACCCCTATCTTCTGCCAGTTCCCCTATCCTGACTGCAGTGGGCTGGGATGAATCTGCTCCATCTAACCCTAGAAGGTTACTGTTCCCTTGGCACTCATTTATTGGGAAGCTTGATGAAAAGGTGCCCCATTCATTCCTCAGTCCCCCCTCATGGCCTTCTTTCCCTTTGGTGTTATTCCTACAAAACAAATTTCCTGTTTAAACTCAGCTGCTACCTGCCTACCAGGCAAAGCTGGAGATCTGGGTATCCTGAGTTCCTAGATCCCTGAGCTGTCTCCTGGATGTGTTCCATTGGGCCTGGACAGGTGCCTCTGGCAATACTGGAGCCTGAAAATGAGAACTCTAGCCTGTGTGCCATCTGACACAGCTCAAAGCATATCCACGTTTCTTTTCCCAGTTGGTTCTTTGCATTTGTGCTCAGCATGAGGGGTCAACCTTGGTAGGTAGGTGGGATCCAAGTGAGTCACTGGTGCCTTTTAAGAGGCTAAGGTACTTCATCAACCTGGGCCAACTGTTGAATGATGCAGGCACTTCTTCCTTCATGTGAGAAAGTCCTGCTTACTTCCAGTTCTTCCTGGCTTTGCCCCTGGGGGAGTATTATGAAGGCATACTGCAGGTTGTCTCAGACATGGCAAACTAGACGTATGTGGCATAATAGTTTTCTGGGGGAAGTTTATTTGAGTCACCATTTGGTTCCCACCCTCTGTTCTCACCCATCAGCCTTCTTGCAGGTGGTATCTATCTTCAGGGTCATTTACTTAGCCCCACTCAACTTTTTCTCAAAGGATGATGACCATAGACCTGTGTTCAGGAAACAATACTCCTCAGTGTGTGTATATGTGAGTAAAGAGGACCCTTGGGTTGCAGGGATCATATGATATTCCCAGCTATGTTCCCAGTACCCAGCACAGGACAAGATCAATAAATACTTGTGGAATGCATGATTGTGCTGGCTGCCTGTGTGTTCCTGTGCAATAGTTGGAGAACCCTACATGAGGACAGGCTGCAGTGGTGCTCTGCATGCCAGATTCACTCCACCTTCTTGTGACCTCTCCACTCCTCCATTTGACCTTACATTCCTGAGGTACTGAATGTGTGATTCAAGCCTTTCAGCCCCTTGCAAAACTTTGACCCTTTGGAGGCAGGGCTGGGGGAGGGCAGCCTCCAGCTTTGGTTCTAGGCAGCTTAGTCTACTCTGGACTGCCTGACCCGCCTGGATTAGGTCTTGCTTGAGGCTGCTGGGAGTGCTTGCACGCTCTGAATCCCAGCCTGCCCTGGGGCTTCCCGCCCCCTTTTCTGATCCCTTGCGCCTTGGGAAGACCTGTTCTGGCAGGGGCTTGGACTACATCTCCCGGCGTGCCTGGCAGAGTGGTGGCCTCTCTACGCCCTCTGCACTAGTTGCCAGCGGACGATGCAGCGGGCTATGAGCATGGTGGCCCCTTTGGGCTTTCGCCTGCAGGCGCTTCCCTCGGCCCCAGGTCGCCCTCTCAGTTGCTCACAGGTGGGATAAAGGGTGTTGGAGGTTTGCTGCCGGTTTTGGCGGGTGGGGGAGGGATGCAGCCAGGAACTAGCGCCCTGATGGCACTAAACCCGGCTGCCCACAGGATGTGCTCCGCAGAACTCCGCTCCATGACTTCCACCTGGCCCATGGCGGGAAAATGGTGGCATTTGCGGGTTGGAGTCTGCCTATACAGTACCAGGAAAGTCACATTGAATCGCACCTTCATACACGGCGACATTGCTCGCTCTTTGATGTCTCTCACATGCTGCAGGTGAGCTATGAGAGTGTGTCTGCTGCTGAAACAGACCTTCCTCGACCACAGTGTTGCACTCCTAGGCTTTGTTTTCTGGGAGCGGGATTCTGAAGACAGCCCATAAATAGCTGGAGGTCTAAGGGTTTCTTGGCAAGGCCAAGGAACTAAAGGGGCTGGCTGATTAACTCAGGGTTTCCTTGATCATCTGTGTGTTCTCTCCTGCCTGTTTTTGCTAACTGTATACCTTAATGCCCTGGGTTTTCCAGAGCTGGTACAATGCACCGGGTTGGGTATTGGTTTGGAAAAGTGGGTATTTCAGTAAAATGCTGTATCCCCCTTAAGTCCAATCACACCCTAGGCTGGGAAATGGGAGTGGGAGTGAGGGGTGCAGAACTGAAAGACCCACCAATTACTTTGGCCTGGACTGTCTTGTGAATTGAGAGATGCCTCCTTGCCTAGTGGCTTTGTGTGTGTTTGTGTGTGTGTGTGTGTGTGTGTGTGTGTTACTGGAAGCCAAACCAAAGGGTGCTCTGCCACTGAGCTACATCCCCAGCATTTTTTATTCTTTTGAGACAGGATCTTGCTAAATTGTCCAGGCTGGCCTCGAACATATCTTCCTGCTGCTTCAGCCTTTCAAGTAGCAAGGGTCTAGTGGCCTTTCAGATGCAGCTATTGCAGTGGCCTAAGGCTTTTGATCTCTTTCCCAGACCAAGATATTTGGTTGTGACCGGGTGAAGCTGATGGAGAGTTTAGTGGTTGGAGACATTGCAGAGCTAAGGCCAAATAAGGTGAGCCCTTTTATTTCTGCTCAATGGGTATTCTTAGTCACAAACCAGCAATCAGGCTGGGTCCCTGCCTTAAGCTTGAGGACATAGACATAGATTAGATATGGATTCTTGGGCCTTAATGTCTTGAGGAACTCGGATCTTAGGTCATTTCCAGATGCCTAGCCAGCTGTGGGATGCTGTCCCAGCATCATCACATCAGGCTAGGAGGCCAGAAACCAAGGTTTTATGTATAATTTCTGGCCTTTCATGCTTCCTATCCCCTTGCTATTCAAAGTATGGTCCCTAAGCCAGCAGCCTTACTGCCTCCTAGGATCTTGTTAGGAATATACTCTCAGACATTGCTCCAGACCTCTGAATGAGAAACTTTATTTTGGCAAGATCCCCAGGTGATTCATGAGACCTTACAACCTTAGGTTCTTCATCCATTTAATGGGAAGGCTAAGGCCAGCCTTGCAGTATTTTGGTGGTTTATCTGGGATGAAGATGGACTTCAAGGTTTTTACCCATGAGCTGAGTTGTCTGGGTGGGATGAAGCAGTAGGTATTGGATATCATAGATTAAACGTGAGATGGAATTCTCAGTATTGTAGGGCATTGCCCAAGGTGGGGAGGAGTTGAAAACTTGGTGCATGAGAATCAAAGACTCTGGATTTGAATCTAGCCTTGCCCCTTACAACTTGTACAGCCTGAGCTCCAGGCATGAAGGTTCATGAGTTTGTGGTGTCTGCTTACCCTTGGCTTTGGTTTTCTGGACCTAAAGCAAAAATGCTCCACTTTGATGCTAGGGGACACTGTCGCTGTTTACCAACGAGGCTGGAGGCATCTTAGATGACTTGATTGTGACCAATACTTCTGAAGGACACCTGTATGTGGTGTCC